GCGCAATTTGTTCTAAAAATAGAAAAATTGTCCCATATCATAGGGACAGCCCCAGTACTAGAAATAGCGCGCGCTTACGGTCTCCGTCCCCGATTATGGCTCCTGGCCACATAGAATCCTAGCGCTGATCGTAAACGGACTTTTCGACTTGACCTAACTTGGGCCCCGTACACACTACCGTGGAGAAATTTGAAACGCAGCTTTATTTCTACGGTCTATTCTATTTCGTCCACACTAAGCCTTCACGAAAACGGAGCTTTTTGAAAATGCTCTTCAAACCGGAGGAATTTATTCGAGGCTGGGTGCTTGTTGTACTATATACGGTGTATATTACTGACGGATTACCACCTGCCAATGTTTGGTTTTGCAAACACTCACACTATACACTATGAAAGGAGAGCAGATAGATCCAATACGAGCAGCAGCTGTTGATGTTCCTACCCCAATGTTTCTGTGGATGAAAGATTTCAACTTCAATTCACTGAGCATGTGCGTTACATATTTATTAATTACAGTAGTGTTAATCACTACAGCCTGACGACGATCAGGTAAACTCACTTACAGGCCGCCACTGTAGCAGGGGGGTCCCCCTGACCCGTGAGTTATCATCGTCGCTGTTTTGAGATAATTTTAACACGTTATGAGCTTGGCTAAATAGCATTTTGGTCTTCTACACGGCATAAAATCATTATACGGAGTCTTGATGTGCTAATATTTTCCTCTTTGTAGACGATTCGAGGAGGCAGCGTGGCCGAGTGGTCAGCGTGTCGGACTCGCAATTCAGCGGTCACGGGTTCGAGTCCCGCTCTGACCATTACCTGGATCTGTTTCTCGGTAGCCCGAGTTCAAATCCTCGGCCACGCTTGTAAATAGCCAACTGGTTTGCCTCCGGCCAGTTGCGATTCTTAACAATGTTATGTTCAATTTGAATTATTTGTTTCAGTTGTTTGGTCGGCCCCACCAGGACTTGCGTGATAAACATTGCCGAGGGTAAATAAAGGTTATGTTTTTTTTAAAATTCACCTCAGTTACCTGAGTTACCGTTCAAAGAATTGTCCAGGGCCTTCATGAACAGCTCCTGAAAACAAAAGCTGAGCCGAACGAAATCTCTTCACAATTTTTTTCTAGAAAATCTCTACCGTGTTGGTATCTACCCTGCCATTAGATTTAATCGATAAGACAGTACCAAATGATGGCAAGCTGATCATGAAGAAAAGATTATCAGGTATATTTCCAAACTCTGCAAAATACAACCTCCCTATTTGATCTTAATTACTTAATAGAATTGAAGCTGGTATGGACTTGACTGATTGTTTTGGAATACAATAATAAAATAAAACCACTTACCTTATAGCAGTGGGAAATAATTCCACGGAATAAAGGTATACTCCATCAAACGATATGGTAATGAAGAACTTGGCTACAATCATGGACATGATAATTTTACCTGCTAGAGCACCTAAAAAATAAAACAGCAAAAAATGAAGCTTTGTTTGCAGACTTTTGCGTGTAAAAGTGCGACGGAGCAATTAGTAAGGATGGGAAAAGATTATAATCAACCTCACTTGTGTGCTAAAAGCTTGTGAAACCAATGAAACAGATATCAAAGCTAAGAATCATAACAAACATAAAATTTCCAATAGGTCAACCACTTAGTTATTTGCAAAAAGGTGGAGCGCGCGGCAGGGAGCTTGGAGGCCGGAGAATAACTTCTAAGATTGGGCTGGCATATTAAGCACTTTGTAGATTCTTGTCACCCAGCATTACAAATCATGAAAAAAACAGCCATGGTACAATGTACGACTGATTCCAGATGAACGTGGTAAAATTAGTAATAATACTAATGTTGACACCATTCATTGCTGAGTGAAAATTGCTATGACGTATTGAAGGTTTACTGAGAGCGATCAAATCATTTAACACAAACTGCCATAAACCTCGGTACACCTTCATACCTAGACTAAGAGTAGTCCCTCTTTCGCTTAGTCCGTCGGGCGAGACGCGAAAGAAAACCGCGAGAAAAAGATGGCCGCGCGAACGCGGCCATTTTCCCTCCCAGTTTATTTACGGTAAGTAAGAGACTTTATTTTATGAGGGTGACACGTAACAGTAACTAACATTACTAATGAACTTGTGGCCCTCTAAACAATTACAAAAATACAAATAATAAAAACTACATTAGCAATACATATTATTTACAACAGAAATAAAAATTTAATATTCTAGAATTTAATAACGGGACAAATCGATTTTAAAACGAAGTGCACGCAAACATCTATATATTGTCATTAATTTATATCAAACGATCCCTTTGTTTTCTGTCTCGCTCGATGGACCAAGCCAAAGAGGGACTTCTCGTAGTCTAATTCGTACCACGACCAATTTTTCTGCAGCTGCAACAAGGTCACATGCTAAGGTTGTACAAAGTGCGTATCATCAGCGTATTGAGAAGCCGTCCATTGCTCAGAAATCTCTGATGGAGGGAACATCATCAATACATGGTCTAGGTTCGGTAAACGCCGTCTTACGCTCGAGCATACATTATGACGTACGCTCGGAATCCAACATGGCGTAAAACTGTTTCAGCGAAATATATTTTGTTGTACCCATCTAACAGTTTTTAAACAGTTAACTTTAACAGTGTGTCGAAGAAATATCGAAGACGATGACGAAGATGTCTTAAAATGCATACGTACGTATAGACACTCTAATTGAGACAAAATTAACCAGCAAAAAGTTACTATCCACGCAGTACCGCTTACCAAGGTATTTTCGAAACAAGTGTTCAATTTAGAAAAGAAATGTTAGACCAGGAAAGCTAGAAATTAAAAAGAGCCCCGTTCCTTGAACTGACGTTCACCTTTACTAGCGTTGTCTTCACTTGAAATAAGCACAGATGCAAATGCTCCAAACGAGGCTAAAATTAAACTTGCAATGATACTCTTCTTTCGGCCGAATCTAGAGAAAAGAAATTTAAAAAATAATGAGATAGTAAATAAATTAAGTAAGACTTAAGTCCGTATTCTATTAGTAGAATTTGTTCTACACTTAGTCTGAAACCTGTTTCACAAACCTGTTGAAAACCCATACGCCTGCCGGGATAGCTGGAAGTTCAATCAAGCTCGTGAGAAAAAAGTTTAAGTAAAAGTTTCCTCCAATGGAAGGTGCGCTTAGAATAACGCCATAATACACAAGAGCATTCACAAACCTGAAAATAATATTAAGAAATGATTATTATCAGCTATATTATAAATTACAAATCCCTGTTACTATTCTTAACTCTCTCATAAGTACGAAGCACGCGGCGGTATTTCGCTTCTCCGAATGCAGTCTTCTTCGAGTGCAGTCTCGCCTGAAGGGTGGAGGGGGTGGGGAGCGGGGAGGGCCATAAAGTGTTCGTGCTTATTTCCATCTTTTTCAGCCTCAAACATGTGATCATGGACAAAAGTCTTGGGACAAATTTGCCGCTTTTTGCGCTTATGCACACACACCAGACGCGAGTAAAACTTCAGCTGTCTAGCCNCCCCCCCTCCTCACCCCACATACAATGCTGAAAACTAGTAACTGCAATTTCTCCAGAGCTAGTTTACCATTGTATTGGGTAGGGAGGAGGTAAAAGCAACGCAGTAGAAAAACCAACCCGAATAGCAGTGCTTTTTCAAATTTTAGTTGTAAAATACAGATAGCTCGTTGCATTGCATTATTTTCCCAAGGACTTTTGTCCATGATTATAGTTCAAGGTATAATCGTCACACTCTGTGACTTTTCCAAATATCTATCAAGGAAAATATTGGTGAGTCAATTACATGTCCGCGTTTCTATGGCAACTGTGCTTTGAAAGAGCGTATCACCGAAGTTTCGTGCTTTAGTGAGATTTTGGAATTGAGAGAATATCACTCCAAATCGTTACATTTCATGTATTTATATATTTTGTTAAATCAATGCTAGAGCGTTTCTGATATATTTCTGAATTTGTTTTGCTATCCAAGATGGCGGATATAAAATGGTGAATCTTGTGAAAGGAGACATAATTCACGCGTGATATGACGTCATGATTGACATAATTGACTAGTAACTTTGGACGCTTTACGTATCATGNGTGCTTTGAAAGAGCGTATCACCGAAGTTTAGTGCTTTAGTGAGATTTTGGAATTGAGAGAATATCACTCCAAAATCTTTACATTTCATGTATTTATATATTTTGTTAAATCAATTCTAGCGCGTTTCTGATATATTTCTGAATTTGTTTTGCCATCCAAGATGGCGGATATATAATGGCGGATCGTGTGAAAGGAGACGTAATTCACGCGTGATATGACGTCATGATTGACATAATTGACTAGTAACTTTGGACGCTTTACGTATCATGAAAGTGTGATTACTATCGAGTCAATTATTCCTGGAGATAAATGGAGTGGGGGTAGGAGGTGGGGAGGAGGGAGAAGGGCAGGAGAAAGACCAAAAAATCAACCCCACTCTTAAAAGGCTAACTCATAAGTGATTCAGTTTACCTCGATGTGATAGGCGTCTTATTCCGAAATGTGCGCTCATTTAACCTAGATACTTTCCTTTTAAGACCTTTGTAGCGAGAGCCATTCTCTACTCGCCTGTACAAGTGCATGTTCCTAAATATTTGATTGATTTGGTTTCCTACAGCACTGGCGTATTAATATCTCCAGCCTTGCCTGCTAGTCTTTGATAGTTATCAGTTCGCTTTTTTGTAAAGGTTTTTAAGTTTCAGATGTCTTGTTCGACTAACCCTGGGGGGTAGCTTTCAATCTTCTTTCATCAAGAGTAATTAGGATTGAGGCACTCAAAAATTCTCTTACCAGCAATACCACGACAACAAAGTTGTCTGCGCCATTTTGCGTGTCCGAAACAGATCACGGGCGTCTCCTAATCTATCACTGTCGTCGGGAACTTGTAGCTCTTCATCTGGCATAATTGTTTTGTTGACTTTGGCCATTTTTCTAAAAATCGCTTTCGCTTCTTCAATTTTTCCTTTGAGCTGCAACCAGCGCACTGATTCAGGCGTCAAACTAATAGCAAACAATGAAAGAAATTAAATACAAAAAATATTTTTCAACAACGAAATCATTCTATAGAGAGTCTTGGGCAGAAAGTACTCTTATTATGTCCTCTCCACACAAACGTCTCTATCAGTCTCTCTCGTTTACCGGGCATCCACTGATGTGGGAACTCTTCAAGCAAAGAAACGGCTTCCCTCAAACTAGAACGAAATCTTAAGTAAACATTGACAAGGGGCCTGCATCTGACACTTACAACCAGCCCAGCAACGCAGGAATTCCAGGAACTGCAGTAGCAATGGATAGCATTCTCCAGTCTCTAATCAGGTAAGCCATGCCAGCCAGGGCCATGAGCGACAGGCTCCAGCAATACCAAAGAGACATTCCCATCATACTGCGGTGTCGCACACCAACAAATTCCGTGACCAGAACGAATATTGCCACGCTAGCTCCACCTGGTCAGAAGAAGAAAAATAGCTCACTATAGAATACAGATTACCTTTCTCTTGTTGACCTTATTCTCTAGATTAATTAAAGCTGAAAGTTCTTCTCTAAGTGAAAGATGCATTTAGTTCAACAGTAAGGTAACTTCACTAACACCACAAAAGCTAGAGTCATTGATGCCCTGATGTAGTGTATAAATAGAGGATATTACACGGTGGCGAGAACATATGAATTTTAAGTTCGAGTGGCAAGAACAATATCTCACGAGTGAGCGTAGCTCACTCGTGAGACTCGCCACGAGAACATAAAATTCACATCTTCGAGCTGAGGTGTGATGTTCTTTTTATTGCTGCCGAACATTTTCCGAAAACTTCCGAAGATTACCGAAGATTTCCGAAGATTGTCGAAGATAGCCGAAGACTTTCGCGGAAGACTCGAAGATGTTTCGATGATACACCAACGAATGTAAGTCCAATTTAAGAGACAAGCTTGATATCAGTGAAATCATTGATATCTTCACTAGTGAAGATATGGAAAATACGCCACTCAAGTCCCGGATGTGGTTTCGTGTGAATTTTACGAGTGGTGTATTTTCCAGTAAAACACTCGAGTCTATATAATAAATAAAGTTATCAATGTATTGAGTCTAAGGTGGCAAAGGAAAAGGGAGGATCTACCTTATGACCTCAAATACCTGTTAAATTAACTGTTAATTTATTATTTAGAGTGACTAACCCATCGCGTAAGCCTGCATAACGGCCTCTGAAGTGTTTTATATAAAGAATCAACTACTTTCTCACCAACTCCCAGCCCAACGATGATCTTGAAAACAACAAACAGCCAGAATACTTTGGGGAAAGCGGATACCAAACTGAAGACAGCGATGACAAATCCTGAGATGAAGATAGTAGGTTTTCGTCCAAACTTGTCCGTGAAAGGACCAATGATTATGGCGCCAAAAAAGAACCCAACGAAGACCGCTGCTAAAGCTAAAGTGGCATAAATTGACTTGCTGCACACAAGATCAAACTGAAAGACATGGTGGAAAAGAATGTGACGAGGTGAGCAATGATGTTAGAACAAATTATCATTTTATACTGACAGGCGCAGTAAAGGAAGATACACAGATAATATTTATTTAACCACGGTAACAAATTCTTGTGAAAAAAAAAACATATAAATTCTAAAGGTCTCTGAAGAGTCTCTTGGCCGAGAAGAACGAAAAAAAAAAGTATTTGACAATTGTTTGCTTTTGTATAAAGGTAACAAATTTGTCAGCTAAAAATACTTAATACATAATACCTAATGCCTAATATAACGAAAATATTGAAACAAAAAGCTGCTTTCCACGAATGCCCGCCATGCCTGATTGTTCCCCTTTGAGTTTGCGTTTAAATTGCCGAAGGAGCTCTGCTTCAAGGAAGACTGTTCCAAAGAATGGCGCCTGCCACTATAGCTAAAGCTATTTTTATAATAGGTTGGTTTTAAACTAGCGAACAAAAAAAGCAAACGCAGTGAGATGTTGATAATTAGCGTCTTTGGTTGGTCACATTTCCTGACAATCTACTTAACAAACGGGGTGTGCGAGTATAAAAGTGGTTTGCCCCTGGCCAATAATTTGTGATGTACATGTAAGGTATAGACTGCAAAACAGTCTATACCAACAGCATTTTTTGCGAATGCGGGCGACGGTCAATATTCGAACAAAAGGTCTGAAGCGAATGTAAAAACGGCGAGGGAGAATGGGGAGAGACGCTAAAAAATACTCAGGGCCCCTACGGGCGTGTGAGGCTCGCGCGCTTCACACGCGAGGATCGCGCTTTCCGAAAATGTCCAAAAACGACTGTTTTGCAGTCTATGTAAGGTAAGGCAAAGTCTGGAAACGAGCTAAGTGGCCCATCAGGTTGGCGATTATCTCTGGTTTCTGTAGCGTGAAGCGACCAGGAGTGTTTCTACTCCCCCCTGGATGGATTCATTTACACATCGGAGTGGACCGGGCTGAAATCCCGACGATTTCAATCCAAGTTCATTTACCACTCATTAGACCACGATGTCTCCGTACATTTGTTCCGACAATCCCTGCTTGATATAATTATCACACAAGTTAAGGTTTCGTGTGTATGGTCTGAACATCTATTCCTACCTCAGTGGCAACGGATGTCATCTCGTCGTCAAAAATCCACTCGCTCCTTGAGATGTTGCATCTGTAATCGTAGTTGATATCTCCAGGAGCCATCAGCTCGTCAAATGAGCACACAGAACTATTCTTGACACACTTCCAGGGGGGCTCTGCCGTTATTATGCCTGTCACCATCACGGCCCAGCCAAATAGAAGAGCAGAAAGTAAGTTGAAAAGAATAAGGAGCCGTTTTTGGAACCATCCAAAACTTCCGACTTCCTCCAAGACTTCATCAGCTGAAAGAGCCATCCCCTAGAGAGAAAATACGAACCACTACAATCTTCTATCGATCAATCGATCAATCAAACAATCAGTCATTTAATCAATTTATTAGTGTCATGCGGTTGTGATGACACTAATAAACGTGGGATGCGGTTTCCCTCATATTCGAGCCAGAGGATCAAGTTTAAAACGCTTGAAAATAAGTAAGAGTGAAATATTAAAAAGTTAAAAGGAATTAATGTAAGTAAAGATTTATTTAATAAAGAATATATATTAAATATATTGAAAAAATATCAGTAAAATATACATAAATGCTCTACCCACAAACGCTAGTGGAATACAAATAGGTAACCAAAGTGTACGTGTGTGGGATACAGTCTTAAAAGCATTGTTTTGCATCAGTGAGTGCACAAAATAGATTGAATCAACCATTGCAATCAAGCCTCGAGATACCAAACAGTTAGTTTCAAAAGGATCATGGTGTTAAGAGTGCTTTCGTTATTTACCATTGTCTTGAACCCTTTTCGTTTAAGGTTTGAAACGTCTAAGGTTTGAAAAGTAGCATGGGATTTTGGGAGTATTACATGTATGTAGTCTTTCTATCTCCACATTACTGATTAAAGTAGACATGAGTGACCCAACATTATTTGCAACACAAAAACAAAACATTAACAGTAACAATAACAATAGTCACGAGAGCATCATAACCTTCTCGTGATGCCCTGCCTGTCTGTGCATGTCACTGAGCATGACCAACTTCAATGCATTTTAAATGTTTTCTTCCATGAGGATATGAAGTAGTAATAACTAAACAACATTTAGGGGACCGGTTTCTTCCATTATATCCGCAGATACATGTTGTATGTTTTATCAATGGTAAATCCTGGTTATGAAAGCATCAGAAAAACTCTCTCATGTTCTAAACAACGGTAACAATGACAAACTGCAACGACGTTACCAAGAGCAGTATAACTTTTTCAGGTTCCCCGACAGTCTGTGCAAACCACTAAGCATTACCAAATTCAATGCATTTCGCATTGTTTCTTTCTTAAGAAAAACAAGAAGCAATCTATTCTTATTGCTACTCCACTAAAACTGTAAATGAATAACATTTCTTACTTTCTTTCCTTCCATTTATTCAAACATTTTCAACAGGAGGCCGCGTGACCGAGTGGCCGAGAGGTCGCGGTTTTAAGTCTCCCTCTGATCACTAAGCTGGAGTTGTTTCTCGGTAGACCCTAGTTCGACTCCTCGGTTATTTTTGTAAATAGCCAACTGGTCTGCCTCCTGCCAGTTGTGATTTTTAAGCCTGTTATGTTTAGTTGATACATTTGATTCTTTTAGTTTAAGTGGTATACCTGAGAACTAGCTTGCTTTAGCTAAGCGCATTGACCAATATAAACAACAACTTTTGTACAATTTTTTTTGGAATAAACAGTGAAGGTCACTTTGCTACTGAAAAAAACTCTTACTGCTTGAGATCACGTTCATCTTTTGTTGCTCAACGTTGGCCATGACACTGTTAAAAAACGTTTTGGAGAAAGGTTGTCCTACAAAAGCGTAAAAGTGTACACGAAATGTATTCTAGGTAACGGTGCTTTACGGTTACATGATCAGTTGAAGCTCGAGGTGTTTCAGTGTAAGGTGCCTTTTCACGCGATTGCGAAGCTCGCTGTGGTATCTAAGTGGCCATCCTCAACGAAGAAAATCGCAAATGCATCCTCAAAATCCGTAGCAGTACTTGAAACATTATTTTGGAAATCACAACAAGTCGCAACAATGAGGTGGGAAATGAACTGAGCAACTTGCTCGCGCGGTTTGCAACCTGCTCCACTCAAACTGTCAATCAAATTACCAATGTGCAAGGTTGCCATCACAAGAACATCTGGTTTGACTGTAATTACTCAGAACCCATTTGGTTTTAACAAAAAGGATGAGTTTCACTCAAAGCCGGATCTCTTTTTTTCTTTTTCCCGCAATTAGCTGGTTATTTGCCTGGGGATTTAGATCTTTTGTTCTCATTTCATGCCGTTTGTACAGTTCTTCTTTGTCATTCTTATTGTCGGATTGTTTTTAGTCAGTCTATTGTTAGATTGCTGTACTAAAATTTACATATTTTGGCAAATGTTATTCTCCTTCAATATCAGCGGCGTTGTAATCTTCTTCATAAGACAGAATGGATTGACTTTGATTTGTCCTGATCCAAGTTTTCTTCAGCTCAACAGCAGAACTAGCGAAAGATTTCGGGTGTCGGGCCAAGAAGTACATAGACCGAGCGAGTTTGTTTGAGCCAGAGAAATAGAGATGTAAACGTACCGCTATATTTACTGACCGTTCAGCACTATCCTCACAAATATGAATAGAAACTATATCATTATTAATCATATCGTTATCTCGCTATTATTATTATTAACGCCTGTCGTTTGTTTATTTCGTGACAATTGTCACGCTTGAATCTTGAAACAACGATTTCATAATAAACAGAAAATTAAAATTCACTGCGAGATCACGTAAAATATTCATGATGTCAAACCTTTTGGCTACGGTTTGAAATTTGACAAACAACGTACAACAATATCACAGGGTATCTCACGTGTGGACGTCAACGAACATGGGCTGTACGTGTTAATGGCATGTGATTGAAATAGAAAATAGAAAATTAAGACGAGCGGTCACTATACTAGCGCCGGCTGAAAAGCTAAAATCGACGTTGAAGATTTATTCACGAGAAAACCAGATAACATAACACCTACGGAGAAACCTTTGAGAAATTCATTCGTACATGTAAGAAGTAAGAAGTATCAGAACGTTTCACAACACTGAGTTCTAGCCAGGTTTTGACTGTGCTCTTCACCGTCGCGTGAATGAACTGAAGCTGAATGCTATAGAAACACGAAATCAAACCAGTGACGAGGCAACCCTTTAAAAGGTGCAAGACAAAAATTACATGTTCTCATTCTGTAGTGTACGTTATGTTTTCTTTGGTTGTAGGTTGTTTATACAAATACAGGCTTACCTGGCGGTGTAGCGGGCGTCGTGCACAAACGTCTCTGCCGTAATTTATTTGCGTGACACTGTTAACTATGACGTGGTGTTGCTGGGGAACTGGCACTATAAATCGGAAGAAACCAAAATTTGGATCAAATGGACTATGGATCCCGGATCTTAACAGTCCGGCAGAAGAATCATTTTTTTTTTTTTTTTAAGGAATTAAAAAACAAAAAGAAAGAAGAAGAAACAATGTATGTATGAGTATTGCTGGTTTTCAGTGTCACGCAATTCAAAATAGATCGAAATAAAAATCAAAACCGGTCAATGGATGAAGTCCAGAATCTGGCAAATGAAAGAAGGTAAATATGCAAAGGCTCTCGCCAAACTTCTGGTCACAACAATTTTTCTTATGCGAGATATGCGGAGAAAGTTTTTGCCCAAATTTATAGAGATTTGTATGGCGACGCCATGCTGGTGCCCATCCGTATGGGCACCAACATGGCGGCCGAAAACCAACAGAAACATCTGT